AGAATAAGCTAATTTAAGCTACAAGTAAAATGCTATGCTATTTACAGCAAACTACTTTTCTAAAACTAATCAGAACTTACTTGGTTACTGTTCAGCATCTAAGTGTGATCTGCTGCAGCAACTATTTTTCTCATAAGAGTTTAAATTTGTATATACAAATTTCTAGCTCTTAGTTAATAAGAGACTGCTACTAGCCTAAACTTGAATTCTTTTTTGCAAATTTTGTATTTGTCTTAATAATCTATTAAAATATTATTAATTTTCTTCTTAATTTTATTATAATTATCTTTTTATTTACCTTCTATTTTTGCTTTGAAGTATATCTACTGCTTCAAACAAAGTATAGTTTTTATATCTTTGGGAATATATCATTCGATAACTTTTTTTTCTTATTTTCTTTTTATTTTTTTTTTCTTTTTCTATTACTATTATAATTATTATTTATATTATTATTATTAGTTATTTTCTTATCATTAAAAAAAAAAATAAAAAATAAAAAAAAATAAAAAAAAAATTTTTATAATATATATACATATTTTTTATTTCCTTTTCTTTTGATTTATATATATTTTTTTTATTTCTCTTTCCCTTAATATTTTACAAATTTTAAAATAAAAAAAACCTAATTTAAAATAAAAGGAAAAATTTTAATTATATATAATAATATAAAATAAAATTATAAAATTCAAAATGTAAAAGATAAAAATTTTTAAAAATATAAATAAAAAAATCTTAGTAAAATTTAAAAATATTTAACAATATAAAATAATAAATTAAAATATTTATGATTTAAATATTTTCAATTATTTTTTCTACTTCTTCAATTAGATCTTAATCAATATCTTTTTGTAATTGATTTGCTAAAGAAGTTTCTTCTCTATATTCATTATAATAATCTTTATCTATACTAAGATTATCTTCTTCAAATTCATTTTCAAATTTGTCTAAATTTAGAATATTATTTAATAATAAATTTGATTCTTCACTTAAATTAGTATTTTCTTCACTTTTATTTAAATTAACTTCAGTAATTTCAACAAAATTATCTTTATCTAGATTTAAATATTTATTAATTAAAATTTCAAAAACTTCAGAATTTGTTTTTTCTACTCCAAAATATGGTAATTCTTGCTTAGCATATGAATAATAATATAATGCAAGTTTATGTATATTTTCTATTTTTAAAGTGCTAATCTATTTCTTCTTGTTCTATATAACTAATCTAATCTAGACCATATATGTTTACATCTAGTAGCATATAAAACAATTGAGAATAATTTTAATATTAATTAAACTAAATAATTTTCATCTTTAGGAAAACTATCTTCAAGAGAAAATCACTAAATAAGTGATATTTCTGAGATACTATATAAAATATCAAATAGTGGTTCCCTTATACAATATAATTTCATTTGATATAATAAATCATATCTTAAAATATTTGATTTACTCATTTTTTTAAAAATGTTATCTGCTGCTAATAAAAGTTTTCTAAATATTCTATGTACCCAATAAGATTCTAAAAATATAAAATTAAAATAATTAATATTAAATTTAAATTTAATAATATTAAATTACTTACCATTATATTATAAATATAAAAAAAAACATAATAAATAGAGTAGATCAGCAAATTCATTATATCTCTTATTAAAAATTGTAATACATTGCTTATAAAAAATATAATAATTATTTAAAGATAACTTATTCATAAATACACCAAGATGAATTAATTTACAAAAACAATTAGCAAGAGTATATGAACATGATTCTAAAATTGTAATAGCTTTTTTAACAGATCATAATATAAATACTAAAATTTTAACATCATCAAAAAATGTATATAAATGTAAAATTAAAATAACTACTTGTAAAAGAATATTTAGTAAATTATATCTTAACTAAAATAAAATATTTAATAATAATTAAAATAATAATTAATAATATTTAAATAAAATTTTACTTACATTTTCTAAAGGTTCTTTAAGATAAACAATTGAATTAGCACATTCATATACAGTATGCTATCTTGTAATAACCTATTGTTTTAGTTCTCTACTTATAATATTAAATTTTCTAATTTCTTCTTTTAATGTTATATCTAAATTAAAAATAAATTAATTTATTTAGTTTAAAATTTTTAATAAATTTAAATTATTCTTACCAGCTTGATGACTTTTTTTAAAGTAATTTACTAAAGTATTATATTTAGTTAAAATTTGATTTGCAAAAGGAATATTGCAAATATTTTTTGAAATTAAATTAATAAAATATAGTATATAATAAAAATTAAGAATATTTGAATATTTTGCTGAAATTAATTGTTGAGCATTTTTAATATTAGAACCAGCATCAGTTATTATTGCAAAAAATTTTTCACTTTTAATTGTTTCAATGATTTTTTCTAACTCTTCAGCAATTAAAACATCTGTATGATTTTGTTCTGATAAATTTTTTAAATACTATAAATATTTATAGTGGTCTGGTGTATAAATAAAAAAATTCTATATAGATTTATTTAAATTATTAGTCTAACTATCACAAGCTTTAAAATAAAAAAGTTATTATAGAATTAATTTTAAAATAAGCTTAAATATAAAATTATACCTATTGTTAAATTTTTAGAATAATTCAATTTTTGAATTATTTTTAAATTTATAGTTGCTACTTCTTAAAAAAGAAGATGACCAGAAAGAACTTCATGAGAAGGTGGTGTATATTCTGAATATAATATTTTTAAAAAATCGATAAAAAATGGATTTTTAATAATAGACTAAGGTATTTTACAAATAACAAAAGCTTTAATACAAGCTTTATTAATTTCTATTATTCTTTCAGAAGAAAGTTTAGAACTCTTATGAAAATCACAAATTTTTGTTTAAATATTTTTTTTAATTAAAGAATTTTTTGGATTTCTAAATCTTATTTAAATATTTTTGTTGGATATCACTAGAAATATTAGGATAATTATTTGCTAAGTAGTCTTCAAAATCTTGAGAAAAGCCTTTATTTTGAAAAAAAGAATAATAATTGTATAATCCTTTATAATGTCTTTTAGAAATTTCTTTGCCTTTTTTAAAATGATTATCCCAAATATCTAAAAGGAGGCCAGCCTGCTATTTTTTTAATAGATTGAGATATATTTCTATAATATTTGAATATATTTTAATTAATATAAATTAGCTTTATATTTCAAAGTTATTAAATAAATTAAAACACTTATTAAAGTAAAATTATATAAATTTTTTTAAAAATTTAAATGAAGATATCTCAACAACTATCAGACTAAATTCAATAAAATTTTTTTATTGTAATTCTATGAATTAATAAAATTAAAATAAAAAAAGTTTATTAAATTTTACTTAATAGTTATTGAGATATCTTCACTTAAAGTTTAATAAAAATTAAAAATACCTATTAAATAATAGTAGAAATTTAGTTTAGAAACTTTGAACAAAGATATCTTGACAACAACTAGTAAAAGTTTTTTTTAAATAAATTATAATGTATTATAGACTTAAAACAAAAAAAATTCATTAAATTTATCAAATTGTTGTTAAGATATCTTTACTTAAAGTTTAATAAAAATTTAAAATACCTATTAAATAATAGTAGAAATTTAGTTTAGAAACTTTAAACAAAGATATCTTGACAACAACTAGTGAAAGTTTTTTTTAAATAAATTATAATATATTATAGACTTAAAACAAAAAAAATTCATTAAATTTATCAAATAGTTGTTAAGATATCTTTACTTAAAGTTTGATAAAAATTTAAAATATCTATTAAATAATAGTAGAAATTAATTTAGAAACTTTGAACAAAGATATCTTAACAACCATCTGATAAAATTCAATAAAATTTTTTTTAAATAAATTATAGAATATTCTAAACTTAAAATAAATAAAAAAATTATTGAAATTCAACAAGTAGCTGTCAAGATATCTTCACTCAAAGTTTAGTAAAGATTTAAAATACAAATAATAGTAGAAATTTAGTTTAGAAACTTTGAACAAAGATATCTTAACTACCATCTAATGAAATTTGATAAAATTTTTTTTAAATAAATTATAGGATACTATAAAAATAAAATAAAAAATTTTATTAATTTTCATTAAGGAGTTGTTGAGAAATTCTTGTTTAAAGTTATTAAACAATTCAAAACACCTATTAAAGTAAAAATTATCTAATACTTTTAATTTTTGACTTAAATTATTTCAAGATTAAAGAACAAAATTGTAAGATATATTTTTAAAAAATTTTATATAAGCAAACTTATAGAAAAAGTTTTGTATATTACACAAACAAATACTCACATTATTTAATAGCAAATGCCAATCTTTCTGAAATAAATATTTTTTTCATATTATTTAATACAAAAAAGAATTATTTTTTTTTATAAAATTTACTTTATCTTTAGATTTTTTATAAAATTCACATATAATAAAATAAATAGAAAGTATATATTCGTTATGATATTTTATTAAGTAACTATAGTATCTTTAATATACATATAGGCGAAAAAGAATCTTTAACCAAAAGTTAAAAAAAAACTTGTATAACAGGATTATGCCGATCATAAATAATCACATTATTTAAGGACCAAATGTATTTGCTATAAATATAATTGATTAGTAAATCTTCGCTATTCATATGAAAATAGTTGAAATAGATATATTTATCTTATAGTTAACTCTTGATTTTTATAAGCAAAAATATATGATCGAATAAATAAAAAACAATCTGCATGCCTTTATATATTGCTTAATAACAATAATTTTTTTAATAAATTTTTAGACCAAGAAGGATCTTTAACTAAAGTTGGTATTATGTTAAAAAAATAATTATCACTAGATAATGAAACTCCTTTATCATATATTCGACATGATCTTTCTGATAAATTTAATGATGAATTACATATTCAACATAATTTTTCTGATAAATTTGATGATGAAACAATTCATTCTGATAGCGAAGTTAGTAAAAACAAAACTTTAGAAACAGTCTTTACCTTTAATAATAAATCATTACTATATACATGAAAATTAGCAGAAGAAGAAGTAGTAGATGATGAACTACTTGAAAGTTTAAGTGATGTTGATAACAAACTTGAAAGTTTAAGTGATTGTGATAAATCTATAAATATTTTAACAGAATCTGAAAAAACTTTAATTTTATCAGTAGATAATAATACATCTCAATTATTAACATCTTGTTGTATTATTGATACTTTCAATAGTACAATTCGATGCTGTAATGCTACAAAAGATTTTAAAAAATTGTGGCAACTTGTTGGTATGTGGGAACTTGCTAAAAATGCTGTTCAAGAGGTAGAAGATAATATTCAATGATTAGGAATATGTAGTACACATTTTTTCTTTGATCAAAATAAGTTACATGAAGAAGGTCTTAAAAAAAAAACTCAAACAATTGATAGTTTAATTCATTTTAAAAGATGCTTATTTTGTGGTATTAATAAATATTTCTATAGTCATGGAAAGTTATGTTCTCAATACTCATGGAATCCTTTAGAGTGAAATTTACAAGTTTCTTGCATTGGTCAAACATATTGTTTAGCATTAAAAAATCAGAATTTTATTCCGATTATTTGTCAAACTACTAATAGTTTACGAGCACGTTATATCTGTTATACTTGTTTTGAAAAAAATAGAGGTCATTTGCATTATCGACCTGGAAATTGCAAATCTATTAAAGCATGTCACGAAATTGACTTGCATAATGAAGATATTATATTAGTACTTAAATTATTTAGTAAATTGATATTAGATATTGCAGAATTCGGTAACTTAGATATAAAGAATAATCTTCTGTATTATTTAAATCCTACTTTACAAATTCTTATAGATGATAATTCATCTTCTCAGTCATTACTTTCTATACTAATGACTTTATTAAATTCTAAATTATCGAATACTTTGAGTCTTTTTGTTATTAAAATGGCTATTAAATTAAAGTATATTAAGATTAATAAGGATAAGGTAGCAAAAGATCTATTACCCGAAGATTGCATAAAATTTGGTAATGCATTAGCAAATAAAATTTGGATATCAAAGCTATATCTTAAAGAAAATTGCATGGATTTAGAAAATCCAATGACATTAAAACAATATTATGATGCATTACCTAGATATTTAACAGTTTTTTTTAGTATATTAGTTCATAATTTAGTACTAAAATGTCATGCTATAGCTGCTAGAAAAGCTAAACAAGAAAAACAGCAAAGTAAACCAGTTAATTTGCAAAAGATACAAAAAACTTCAGCATTTTTATCATCAATTATTTTAAATACTGCCTTTAAAGGTATAAATATATAGCTTACACATACAATGGCTAGTTTATGTCGAAAGCCTAAGCTCATATCATCACTTTACAATCTTTTAAAAGAAGTTAATGTAATTTTACATACAGATCAATGAGAACGTTATTTAGAAAGTATACGCAAAAAAGCTGCCAATCTTTGTGATTGACTTAAGACTAGCCCTAATATTTGGAATATAGCCATAATT